AGGCAGAATTAGAGTAAATTACTCTACGGAACCTTGAGCGTGGTCAAATACATCAATCGAAAGGGTTTGACTTCCTGAGTCCAAAATTAGATCTCAAATCGGTCAAGAGATGACAAAGCTGTAAGCTAAAAGTTTATACTTAAAAACCTCGGAACCATTCTATAAGCCGCTATGCTACGGCTAAAAAATATGAAAAATTCCCAGTTCGAAGGCGTTGTTGACCAACAACAATAAAATCTAGTATCATTGTTAAGATTCAGATTAGCCACTTCATTTTTAAACATTTACATTGATAATAATCCGATTTTTTTCAAAATAGAATATACGATTATTTAAATATATAATTAAAACTTGCGTGTACTCGGATTAGGCTTTGCACAGCAACTGGAAGGTCAATAACACTTTATAATATGCAGTGTACTATCTTCACAACTATGCTGACTATGATATATTTGTGTATGTCATATATTTGGCATACATACATCTTAATATTTTAAATGAAGTGTAGAAAGGATGATGTAGCTCTATTTTTAAGAAGGTAAAGATAATAGAAATGAAAATTTAGGATGCAATACTGAAATCAGTACCAGTATCCTTCTCCCTACACATAATGTCTTATTATTATCATTGTCATTCCCATGTATGTGGTGTGAAGAGTGCTTAGTCTAAATATACTTATGATTATTTAAATTGTGCTTCGTCTAACATTAAATCACTATAAAGATCTAACTAGGATAATATTTAAAAACATTTAATTGTACTTTATAAAAATGATCTGCATATGATAATACAGTGGGGTGTATACTAGCCATGGTGCCACGGGCAACACATTTAGCATGTTGTTATATTACAACCGTTAGATGTGCAATTCCTCAATGCGTAATCATTGGACTAGATAAATATGACACGACCCCTTCCGATAAAGGATGTTGGTATAATAAAAATTGTTAAAAAATAAACAGAATTCAAGGACACATCATTTTGACAAACGGAGCCTTTAACGTTCTCCACAGAAGTAGAAAATGAACTCAAAAATTACACCCGGAGCCAAGTCGAAGTGACTCCTACATCTGTAAAGTGAAGTTTATGATTACGAAAAATAACCTTTAACCAAAATTAACACTGCGATAAAGCTGAGCATATCTCGTGTGACGTTAACTAGACAATAAACAAGGTTTTGAAGTTGATAAATGCTCCCAAAGCAAAGTTAATAAGCTTCCAGCTACATCTCGGAATTAATGGCTGTTTTAATGAGAAAAGTAGCCGAAGAAATAGGAATCACAGGAATTCCATCAGTCTGTATACCTATTGAATCCTTAGATAAAACTCCAACAAACTCTTGTCTTTGGTTTGTTTTGGAAGTCGACTCTTTGTCCAGTGGAGGGAGGGTTCGTCAAAGTATTGTGTTTTTCATACGATGGGCTTTGTCATCCTTCAAAGAAGACTGCAAGAAGGGAAAATGCGGAGTTGGGCAATAAGATATAATCGTGACCATCAGACTAAGCAAGATTGATAGTGGAAGAAGCCATTCATAAGTCAACATTGAACTTGGAACATTGTTTTTATAAGGTTCGACCAACTCTCAGTTTTTTTTTAAATTTTACGTATCGAGAAAGTATTTTTGAGTAGAGGACATTGAATGTGTACTAGGAGTATGAGGACATTGAATGTGTACTCGTAGTATGAGGACATTGAATGTGTACTAGTAGTATGAGGACATTGAATGTGTACTCGTAGTATGAGCTGAACCTTGAGTAGACGACATTGAATGTTTACTCGTAGTATGAGCTGAACCTTGAGTAGAGGACATTGAATGTGTACTAGGAGTATGAGGACATTGAATGTGTACTCGTAGTATGAGGACATTGAATGTGTACTAGTAGTATGAGGACATTGAATGTGTACTCGTAGTATGAGGACATTGAATGTGTACTAGTAGTATGAGGACATTGAATGTGTACTCGTAGTATGAGGACATTGAATGTGTATTAGTATGAGCTGAACCTTGAGTAGAGGACATTGAATGTGTACTCGTAGTATGAGGACATTGAATGTGTACTCGTAGTATGAGGACATTGAATGTGTACTAGTAGTATGAGCTGAACCTTGAGTAGAGGACATTGAATGTTTACTCGTAGTATGAGCTGAAC